TGGAAAACTGGTTGAACTTGAGATACATTCGGCAACATTTGAATCAATTGTTTTCCACAATAAACATTAAAAATAAGCAATAATTATATTTATGAGACATTTATTGCTTTTTGTGTTTTATAATTAATTTTGAGTTTGACACAAATGCATATAATTATGTATAAAACTAAACTTTTATTATCCATTTAATTAAAGTATATTTTTTGGAGTGAATTTTACGAAAGTTTGGCCCACAATGACGTCTAAACAGACGATTCAATTGAATGATTGAAAAGCTATCCGTAAGTGAAGAATTGGATTCTGGAGTCGTGTTTATGGTTAAGAGTTTCACAAATTTCACTCAATTAGCGCCGCAATTGTTTCATTCAAATCGCTTTATAATTACACGTTTGCTATCGAAACGTGATTTCGATTTTGTTTTTTCAGATTTCATTTCCAAATGACATTTCATTCGCTTGTTTTGAAAAGTTTTCAAAACATTTCACTTTCATTTACAGAGTATTCTTTCATTATTAATATTATTGTAGTTATAAAGTTATTATGTATTGAAAATAGTTTATAAAAGTATTTTGCGTACATATTTGTGCACAATTTTAATTTCAATAAACTTTTCATAATGAGTTTTAGGTAAGGATTTGAATTTTATAACTATTTAAATTGATTGTAATTAATATTTTTATTTGTTTTTTTAATTTTTCATAATTGGCATAAACTTCAAATATTTATAATTATCAATTAAATTTTACATAAAAATATTTTTCTACATTTACTCCAATGCCCCACCTTTTAAACTCTATATCATATATTCATTTAAATATTTAATGTTTTATTAATAGATTTAATCATTAAATCTTAATGTGTTTTTGCTACTAATACATTGATGGGAATAGAAATTAGTCCATATTTTGTTCATTTGATAAATAAATAAAATTTTAATTGATTGTGAAATAATTACTTTTGAATATATTTCGCGTTTTACGTACAAATCAATTGAGTTTTCATAATCTTAGACTGAACATGTTGCAAAGGGTAATGACTTATTATTTTCCTTAAGTCCACAGACTATTTCAGATTTTCCTCATTTCACAAATCATTTATATTTTGCAATTAATGTCAACACAGTTTTGAAAGTTTTTAAAAACTTTGTTATTTAAAATGTTTGCCACCAAACAATTTTAGACGTAATGAAATATTTTTGATACCATTGACGCAATTGTTTTGAATATAATATTGAAATATGATATTAAAATATTAGTTGTATTACAAAAGTAGAAATATTTTTGATTTATTTTTCATTTTATTGATTTCATTATTTTATTTGTTTTATGCATTTGAAAGAAATGTTTTGCTTTACTCTGATCTCTCTCTCTCTCTCTCTCGCCATAAAAATCATTAATAAATGTCTTTACACAATATGTCTGATAAGTAATTGTTTAACACATTATACTATACAAACAATTTATTTGTGTCGACCCAACCGGCCCCGTCCGGACACAACCAGAATCTAAACAATCAATTGATATAAAAAGCATTTAACAATAATATTCAAACATTTGAATTGAGAAAATTAAGATGCTTTTCAATATTTCGCAGCATAAATATGTTTCCTTATTACTGAATAATGTATTCAAAATATAATACAATATTTTTATATGTATTTAAATATATTTTTAATCTATTTGACTCTGAATTCAATGCTAGATATCATAGTATGCTGGCGCATACATATAATTAATTTAAGGAATGTTCAAATTATTTCACATTATGGTTAGAAACTAACAACAAAAATAATATTAATATAATCACTTTTAGTGCAATACTTTTTTTATAACTTATAAATCACTGTAAAATTATTATAAAATACATTTATATTATAAAATTCCGCTTGATAATCCTTTGAAACATTATGATCATGAAAGTTACACATGATATAAATTGAAAAAACATATTTAGTCTGTCGAAAATTAGACTTCAATTTTGATTGAAAGCAATTGAAATCAATTAAACCATTTTATAAAATTTTTATTTTGTCAATGACTTTATTAAATTAGACTTATATTTCATAATTAATTAGACAACTCATGACAAATCGTGTTAATTGTGATAAACTTAGAAATTTAATCATAGGTTTCGTTGATACTAGTATTGCATTGATTTACGGTATGTCGCAAACAGTTAAGTAAAATATATTGATATTTGTTATAATAAAGTTTACTCAAAAATAACAATAAAGAAATTGTATTATTAGTAAGGAATTTAGCGATTCATTTATAATAATAAATTATCCTTGAACATCTCAACATTTTATTACGCTAACGTACAATATATTTATTTAATATTAACCCTATTAACGAGTAAATTATGTTTAATAAGTACATGAATTGACTGACTGTTCAGTACATTATGAGAAACTCAATGGAAAACCGAATTTTATGGGGCATTGAGTCCTCAAACAGTGAAAATCATGTATAAAAACTAATAGACAGTTGAGACCAACCAATAAAAACAGGCGATTCTCGCCTCAAGAGTAGGTCTAAATCGTAAGGACCAGTACTTGAATCTGTTTTCTAATCACTAGTTATATATATTTAAAGTTGATTTCAATCTGCAAAAAGAGATTTGAAATCACTTTTTGTTTGGTCGTCAAACAATTGATAGCCTGATGTAAAGGAACTTACACTCACTTATGCTATACTGTATTCAGTCAGTAGGCATGTCGTGATTAACACTGATTTATTAATACTAAATTATAAGCTATAATATATTCATGTGATTGTGATTTTAACGCTATTATATAATATAAATAATTGTTACCATAAGACATCATTCTATGTAAAATAGTCTATACTATCTAATCGTAAGTAAAACTTTTTGTGTGTGTGATAACTACTCATAAATAAAAAGTGCCTAAAAATTTACACCTAAAGCCTGAACCATAAAATCCTAAACCATTGTATTGAATATACGTAAGAGTTAATCAAAATTAGAGCAATGAGTTTGCGGTTTTTGGTAGACCATAATTAACATGAATGCCACACACAATCAGATAAATTTGCTTTTTAAACAGAATATAATTTTAATTTTCTCCAAATTATTGCCTCAATAAACATTACAATTATCCCTGGATTTGGTAGTGAATTGATTTGTTGGCACAAAGTTTCTCATACATCCTAAACGAAAACAACTGATTAAGTCGACGAGAAATCAAGTGTTTTTATTTATAGTTTACATATTTGTTTGACAACTCATTAGCGAAAAGAGTGAAGTAATGAAAGCTTTCATGGAGTCGGAGGGCGTCTGGAAGGAACTGATCCCATCGGGTCTGCGGTCGCCGTCGACATTGACGTCCGATGTGGCGGTCGAGTCGGAGACCACACCGAACTCGACGGTCACTACCGAGCACTCGAAGAACTACTTGTATCGCATGCGAGCGCAACAGCTCCAGAAGAATCTGACGTATTCGGGGACCACTCGACTGGACACCAATGACGGCCAGACGACACCACTCTATCGCACCATCAATAGCATGAAGCAGACGAAGATATTTCCCGGACGTATCAAGAAGAGGGTTGTCCTCAAGAACGGAAACGTCAACCTCTGCAAAGAGCACATCGATAGGCGCAGCAAAAGGTATCTTCAGGACCTGTTCACAACGATGGTCGACATCCAGTGGCGATGGAATCTACTGGTGTTCGCCATGGGCTTCATATTGAGTTGGTTGGGCTTCTCGGTGTTGTGGTGGTTGATATGCTTCTCGCACTCGGACTTTGATAACCTGGACAACGAGTCGTGGAAGCCGTGCGTTATGAATGTCAAGTCATTCACCAGTGCTTTCCTATTCTCCATTGAGACTCAGCATACGATTGGTATGAATTGATTGTCAATTATTTGAATCCTTTGAAGGCTTATTGTCTATAATTATAATTATTTTATAATTTCGTATAACATAGAATAATATGTTTTCAATCTATTCCAAGTTTGTTAGATATAATATTATTCTCACACTTTACAATATTTATTAATCAACTGTGATATGTGAAAGGTTATAGAAATTTATGATTTTGCACAATTTAATCTTGTTATTAGATACTATACAATGAAACGAATTAATAATAAGTAAATTTATGAGTATTTTTAGAGTTATGTTTAAATTAAATTAATGTCACTAAAAATAAGTTATTATAAATAAAAATGATCGAAGTATTTATTAACACCAAAATAATTATAAAATTGAAACATTAAAAACACTAAACTAAGTGATACCATGAATATAGGATATGGATCTCGATATACAACCGAAGAGTGTCCGGAAGCGATATTTGTGATGTGTCTGCAATCGGTGGTGGGAGTGATGATCCAGTGTTTTATGGTTGGCTTCGTATTCGCCAAACTCTCGCGACCGCAGAAGAGGTCTCAGACACTCATGTTTAGCCGCAATGCCATCGTATGCCTCCGAGACGCCAAACTTTGCCTTATGTTCAGAATCTGTGGGTTTTTTTCACAATATTTAGAGACAAACGATTAGATAATAAATAATTTGTATTGCAGGCGATGTCCGCAATCGTTCCCATATTATCGGCGCGTCTGTGAGCGCGCAAATCATCAGCAGAAAAGTGACTCAAGAGGGGGAAGTCATATCATACTATCACACCCACATTGAGGCCAACTTCGACAGCAGTAACGCAAATGATGTGTTCCTCATATGGCCGGCCACTATCGTCCACATTATCGACGAAAAGAGTCCCTTCTTTAATGTAATTTCATTTCAGAAGTGATTTACAACTTTTTTAACGAAAAGATTATTCCTATCTATAGCTGAGCTCAGAAGAGATGATGAGAGAAAAGTTTGAGATAATAGTGATTTTGGAGGGAACTATAGAATCGACCGGACAGTCAAGTATTCAATATCTAAGACTACTTTAACAGTTAATTTCATATGTATTTCACGTGTGTCTCAGTTCAGGCGCGCTCATCGTATTTGCCGTCAGAGATATTATGGGGCCATAGGTTTGAACAGTTGGTGTCCTATCGGCGCGAATCGGGTGAATATCGTGTAGATTACGGCCGATTCAACAACACGTACGAAGTGGACACTCCTCTGTGTAGTGCTAAAGACTACTACGAATACCAGAGATTCGTGTCTAACCACCAAAACCACGTCAATCGTGGCCTCAGTTTCATTGATTTCGTCGCCAAAAAGAGCAACAGTTGTGAGGAGACGAGACAGCCGTCAAACGAGTGCACCGTTTGTAGTCTCAACGCCAATACCATTCTCGGCTCAAACCTCTCCAATAAACACATCCCAGAGAATACCGTTTAATATAAATGTTTTCGTATTTTATTTAATTTTAGATATAATTTTTTATTTAAATACTACAATATTTTTACAATTTTATAGCAATTTTAATAAGGAGTTTATTTGAAAATATAATAAAATAATTTAAATATTCATATGAAATATACAGTATATTGAATAAGCAATGTAATATAATTTATAAATACATGATATTTTGTAATACTTCAAATTCATTTATATATTAAATAATAAAAACAATTATATACAGTATATGGTAGCTTCTATCTATTAAAGGAAATATTTGAATAGTTTTTGAATGGATTATCCGATTTTTAATCTGTTTTCACTAATTTGTAGCTGGATAATCACGTAATCAAATGGTATAGTATTTGCCATATAAATTCATCAGGATAAATTAGTAATTTAATTTCAAAGTTTTGCCAACATTTCTCATTGAAATTACATGGGGATT